TCGGCTTTTTTATCCCTAATGAATCGGGTTAATATCACCTGCCTATCGCCTGGCTATCACCAGGCTATCTTCTAGGCTGATTAGTTGAAGATATTTGGATAATATTTTTGATTTCGACCAGTGAAAAATGCTGTAATTTCATTATTATAAAATAATAAAACCTTCGAATCAAATTTCTATAATTAATAAATAAAGTTTCATTTTAGTAAATTGTTTTAAAATTAACCAATTGCTCTATTAAATTTTTTTTTGTGTAAACCTATAATATTATTCATTATGTCATCATTATTCATTGCTTTTTGTCTTGTTAAAAATGTTACTGGAAATAATAGTTACATCACCAGAATTGCGATATATCGAATAAACGATAATACTGATAAATTTAGAGAAATTACTTTTAAGGGTTTCTCTAAAAATTCTGATTCGTTGGTTACTCCATTCGAAAAAAATTCTATTGTCTTGATAGTTAGCCATTATGTATGTGAAGATAATGTAGAATATGTATATATTAATTACTATTCTTATTTTTATTAAATAGATTATAAACTCAATTCATACTTTATTATTTCTCTCAGGTCACTATAATTCAATCTGTTCTCATATCTTATTCTGATAATGAATATACTCTTACCCAAGAAAACCTCCTAAATTTGTCTCTCTTATTACTTTACTTGGCTCCTGTAGTACCAAATTCATATATTCCTGACAATAATAGAGGTCAAGAAAGTTTTATACTGGCAAGGTGTTTGTATAATGGAGTCACTAACAATAAACAAATTTACTCTAAAGTTATCGTATTATATCTAAACAAAACAATTATTATAATGCCTTAAAAAATAATCTAAAAAAAACTAGCTTATCTGTCATAGGACAGTTGAAACTTGGATCAAAAAAACTTCCACATATTCTCGCTTCTGATATTGAATGGATCTATCCAACTAGTAACCCTCAAACTTCAAATACTTCGTCTAATAGAACAATAACTTCACAAGGAGAACTTGACACACAACTTGAAAGCATCAAAGAAAAATATGCTGCATTGATATCTCAATTTTCTCAAAAAAGACAAAGAATTAATTTATAAAATTCTTCTTTTAAACCCCAAAATAACAAAACTACATCCCGAATTTTATTGAAGTCATCTCCCGAATTCAAAAAGAAGCTTCTTTTGCTGGACCTTCTTATGCAGAGTCTACCCAACAAGTTATCAACGAACCTAACTTGCAAAATATAAATGAAACTCTCACTCCTACTGCATCTTTTCAAATGAAACAAACACTTTTATTAACAATAATATACCCATTGAATCTACCCACTCTGATACTCCTATTCTTCAAGGCAAAAAATCTGATACTAATAAAAAGCATCTAAGACCACTTCTACATCAGTAAATTTATATGTGCGAAATATTGCACAAAAATTTGCGATACGCAAAAATAATGCAAAAATGCGCAAAATATTTCGAAAACTTTCGCAA